TTCTTCTTTGGCTAGCTGTATAGAGTTCATGACTGGCAACACACCTATCTACACGAAGTTCCTGTGGTCTTGGCAAGATTGCAGATTCACCCTGGTCTGAATCACCTATTCTTTCAGTCTTCTTGAGATCATTGAGAAAAACTGCCTCGCTCATAAACGTTTCTTGTACCCACCAGCGAGTCAATCCACTCATTTATTCCCGCTTGCCCCAGAGTGTCATGACACAAATGAAACTGATTCCTAATAGGCGGGATTTCCCATGTTGCCTCCTTATTCTTGTGTAAGTAATACACTCCTCTCTTTATTCTTGTATCAGGCACAATCCTGTATACTTTCTCTTAGTCGTATTCGTTAACTCTCTCCTGTTCCTGATTTTCTCTCACACACATTAATTTACGCTAGTCTCCCTTCAACTAACTCTCCCCTTTACGCTTCTGTATGCTCTCATAACGATGTCAGTGGAGATTCGACAAAGATTTCTCGCATGCTATAGAGAACTGCTTTTAACATACGGCTGTGAATCCTGGACAGTTAGTAAGCAAGCTAGACAATTTCGAAAGGTCACGGAAATGTGGTTTTACAGAATAGTCCTTAGAAATAATTGCACAGCTTAAAGGTGCAACTCAGTTGTTTTGAAAGAATTGACGGTAGGAAGACAACTTAGCAGAAACATCAGAAAGAGAAAGTCATTTTTATTTGTCATGTAATGAGGACAGGGAAATTGGAAGATCTTGTGACCACTGAAAAGATCTGTGAACCAAACCGACCCGAGACTTTAGTAGCCAATAAAGTTTGGAGAGATGAAGCGTACACAGTAAGAATCTTCGCCGTCGAGGTAGGCGCAAGAGGTCTCGTTTCCACTTCACTTTACAATGTGATTAAACAACTAGGCTTAGGAGTTTCTTCTTATTATGGCTTCCACCAGTGACACTCTTGGCCAGAAGTTTTGCCTGGAAATGTTGTATTTGGGGCAGTCTTGGAGGACGTGATCTGTTGTCTCAGGTGCCAGTCCACTTGGCTGATTCGACAGTCTTAATTGTGTGTATATGTGAGGTGCCTTATTCTAAGTATTCTAAGGCGTAAAATAAGGACTTTCTCAGGACTGGCTATAATATGGTAATCGTCTTTTGCCAGTTTTTTTTTTTCTTCAAATTTTTTTGTTTGTTTGATTATTCTTTTCTTCTGTTGATAAAAGACTGTTAGGTCAGGCTGTTCTTCAGATGGCCGTAGAAGTCATAGTCAGCATCTGTGGATTATACATTGCGAACGTGCTTCGTAATTCCGAGATACCCGGTTCCATTCCGGCTGCAGGTGATTCGACAACAGGCAGCTTTGTACTGATATCGACAGTTGTATCTGGAGTGGACAGTTTAGAAAGTAGTGGAAACTACTGAACATTTAATTTTAGGTTTAAGCAATGGATCAACATCATGACACAAGTTTAGTAACCCGTAAGTGCTCCGTTCTACTTCAAACTCGTCTAAGTGTGAAGAAGCTCAGCGCAGTGCACGAACTCCGTAGCACCGGCGAGAATCCTGAAATACTTTGGGTAGATTTTTAACTGCAAATTTTGCCCGGGCAGCGCCGTTAGGCTAGTCTTTTCGATTTTCGACTGCCAAGGGATTTTTTACGTGCTCAACAATACACACAGGCGTCTGGTATAACTACCCAGAAGGACCCTTTTCCACGCCTTTAGTCGTTTTCGGGATACAGTGCTAGACGTATTTTTCTATATACCAATTGGTGATGTGTTCAGCATCATGACGTCCGCCTTTACTTCCCAGGACTGTTCCTGGTACCAACTCAAGGCTGGGTCGACCTGGGAGTCAAGGTCGTTTTGTCAGCCCCTGTCAGGACCCGAACCGATGACTTAGCGATTCGTAGGCGAGCGTCTAGCCGCTAGACCACGGCGGCTCACCTACTGCTCAGAGAGCAGGGGTAATGATAAGAAATCTGCGTGAACAAAGCCCAGCATTCACTGGGGCCTGAACCTGGGACCTCCAGCACTCGAGACGGACGCCATGCCTCGAGACCACACAGCCCCCTTACAGAACATAAAAATGCTTAGTAAAGCCCAAACGCTGGAGTTAGTTCTATAACTTCGTGTAAAGGAAAGGCAACCTACATTCACTTGTAGAGACTTCAGTTCGAATCCTGTTGACGGTGATAGTAATTTTGTGTATGTGGCGAAAAAAGGGAGGAAAGACACAAAATAAACATACCAACCTGCACAGTTTGTGGCGACTGTATAAGCCCTAAACCCCCAGGCTGATTAAAAATAAAATTTAAAAAAAAAACATAATCACGACTTACTTGTTTATAACGACATTTTTCACAACTTATGGGCTATAAAATGTAGATAATCAACTTAGTACATAATTTACTTATTACCACTACACGTCTACACTATATAAACCTACTAAACATTCTTAGAACACTACAAATGTTACATAACTATAAGTATATTAGTGTATTGCACATCTGACAGGCCCATAAGTGCCCAGATCCCATCATCAGTATCTCCCCCAGACTGATAACACCAGTTCTAAGTTGGTTTACTGTTCGTCGCTTGCTACCTGTATACGGTTTGTATCTGGCAACACTTCTTTTGACCTGAAGTTCTGGCTGTGTTTTCAATGTCGTCAACTGACCACCGTCTCCTAAATCATCATCGCGTCCTGCCTTCTTGAGAGTATTGAGAATATCGGTTTGGTCCATTGCTTTTCCTTTTACCCACTGTGTCCCTGCCAGCAAGCCAATCCGCTCGATCATTCCCTACTTCTCCAAAGCAGTAAGCCCAGAGACGGCGCAAATACTAGAAATTAGTCACGAAAGTGGCGCAAAGAACCCTTCAGTTCTCGTTGTTCCTAGTGGCTCATGAGGCTTCAGAGAACGCAAATAACCCAGACCACAAATATAGGCGGTGACTTTTAGCAGCTTGGGCTAGCTAGCAGCAGTCTGAAAGTGGTCGATCTTTTCATTTTTTTTCTTCTCAAAACAAATCGGAATCGGAACAATCCTGTCACCTCTGAGAATTGAATAGGAACCTTTGGTTTAATCCCAGATCTGTACAAGTGGGAGAAAAACATTGCCCCTTCTACGGAATTGAACCGAAACCACTGGTTTAATTTAGGAGCCGTTAAGATCTATGAAAAAAAAAAAAAAAAAACCACTACCAGTTCTGGCGAATTGAACCGCAACCACCGGCTTTACCTTAGAATCATAGAGGTCGGGAAATATATTACAATACTACAGCGAACGCGCTTCGTAACGCCGTGGTGCCGGGTTCGATCTCAACTGCGGACGATTTGTCTATCGCTTCTTTTGATATTCGTAGCTAGAGCTGATCGTTCTGTGGCACTGATAAAACAATGAACGGAAAATTTGAATATTAAAAACAAACAAAACCACAACATATAAATGCTGGAGTTAGCTCTGCAATGTCCTGTGAAGGATATTCAACTAACCAACTAGGGAATTGAACCAGAGCCAGAAAAACTGTGTCGAGATTCAAGCGCAGTGAACAATCTGTCGCGCGGACTAATTATGTAACTAGGAAATAATGCAGTATGACAAACTGATAAAACAGACCTCTGTATAACAAGGCAATCTCCATTTAGGTGCGGCTGAAATTAAAAACCGCTAGCTGATCTAGCAGTATTCGGAGAAACAATATGTAAAAACAAAATGTGGCAATTCCATTATGTGATTTTCTTTTGTTGACGTTGTCCGGTTTGTTTTAAAAAAAATGAGACCACGTTAAATGTTTGTTCCATTTGTCGATTGTTTTACTGAATTTAGTTTCAGTTCTTCAGTTTAATTTTCAAATTTACAATCTACGTGGAAGCCAAGGGGTTGTATCTACGTGGGAGGCGATGCTTTGCATCTACGAGGAAGCCGCTGTGGTACAGGCGCCTAAGCCCTCGCCTATAAACACAAAGGTCGTTGGTTCAAACTCACATTGGGCCCGATTTTTTCTTTAAAAAAATGACCATGGCCCGGAGGTCCACCTAGCCTAAAATGGGTACCAGCAATCCTAAGGGAAGTAAATCGTGACGTTACTACCGCTATAATAAATACAATGTGGCATAAACGTACTAGTGAATAGGAAGAAAGAAGCAAAACTTAAATACAGCGTTATATATATATATATATATATATATATATATATATATATATATATATATATATATATATACATATATAACAGGCATGTAAGTTTAAATATCTTGGAATATTCTCTGAAGGTGGAAAATTGGATGAAGAAATTAACACCCGAAGCAATAACGCAGGCCAAGTATTTGGACAGCTGCTCTCCCCCCTTTCCCCACCACCACCACCCCTCTCCTCTTACAGCATAAGGCAATCCCAATCAGCACAAAGAAACATCTCATACAAAGCATATTCATTCCCACCCTACATTATCAGTACCAGACATATTCACTCACACAAATTAAAAAAAGGAAAAAAGAAAAAAAAAAGTAAATTTAGTAAACCATGAAAATAAGGTGTCTGAAAAAGATGTAGGAGTGACCAGAAGAGAAAACAAAAATCAGGAATGAGGTAATTCGTATACAAAGACGTAAAGGGACGTAGAACAAGAAAAATATTGAAAGATAACATTATAGAAATTCTGCAGTACCACCATGTGTCTATGGTTGAAGCAGCTAGAAACAGAACGTTAACCCCCCCCCCCCCCCCCCAACAACCGAAGCGATAAAAGAGGATATATAGAAGAAGAAGAAGAAGAAGAAGAAGAAGAAGAAGAAGAAGAAGAAGAAGAAGAAGAAGAAGAAGAAGAAGAAAAAAAAGAAGAAGAGGAGGAATAATAAAAATAATAATAAAAATAATAATAATAATAATAATAATAATAAAAAATAAGAAGAAGAAGAAGAAGAAGAAGAAGAAGAAGAAGAAGAAGAAGAAGAAGAAGAAGAAGAAGAAGAAGAAGAAGAAGAAGAAGAAGAAGAAGAAGAAGAAAAAGAACATAAAGCTTTAATTTAAAGTTTAATACAGAGATTCTTTCTTACATTTTTGAAAGTCTCCACTAAAGCTTTCAGAAATTCCTTTCTCAAAAAAGCATAAATTAGACAGTTTGTGAACGAGTTGAGCATAAGTGTTATCACAGTGATCAAATACACAAAAGAAGGCAGATCATGGAACTTATTTACAAATGTTATTACAATAGACGGTGAAGTAAATAACATAAAGGCGCCAAACATAACGATAAAGAATTTGAGACTTCTCAGAGCCGCCTTTCGGTTTTGCAAGAATATGACATCGCTTGCCTTGTCTTCATTGTGTAACCGTCGAATATTGGCAGATTTATTATGTTTAAAGGCCAAATGGGCAATCTTCAGGTAACTGACAAACACAGCGATAACATTTGCCAGATATACTATGAAAAGTAAGCAGAAATATTCCCAAGGTGGGTGTATTAAAATACATTTTTCACTATAGGTGTCACTGGTGTATACTGCCAAAGGGAACATCGTGTAAACAAAACCTATTAACCAAATGACCAGAAGAATCCGGAAGATACGCCTCTTCGTCACAAACTTCATGTAGTAAAATGGATGCGCAATTTGAATGTATCGATCAATCGCTGCCAGACCTAGATGCGTGACGGAGATCAGGACGCCTCCGTAGCAATCGCCAAACAGAAAAATAACGAAGAGGTTCTTTTGGAATTTGGTGAAGATAGAACCTGCAAGAGCTTTGATTCCGTGAGCTGTAAATGAACAACACAGTAGGATGTCTGTCAGGGATAAGCAGGCAACAATAATGTCGCTGTTTGTGTGCAAGGCTTTGGTACGGTAGACTACCACAACAACTAGAATACTTTCTACCGATACAATGATGCAGTAGGCAAAAACAAGTGCCTCGATGTGAATCCCTTGGAGCAGTTCAAAATCGCAGCTAGAAGTTGTGTTATCTGCCATGTTGCTGGGAATAGATTGCCTGTTTTTTGTTTGTTTTGTTTACTGTTGTCTACTTGGCTTTACATCAACAATCGGTTGTTGCTTTAAAGAACAGCTTTAGATATCTGGAAGCGAGACTCTGAATACATGTATAATCAAAACAGCATTAAATAAAGATTGTGTCTATCGTCACTTATGTCTCATTTCCATTGATGTGTACACAACACTTGCAACTTATTAAATTATTTTATGTTTATGCTATACACACATTACCCTCCTAACTGTTCGTTGGGTTCGTGCCTTGAGAATCTCCGACTGTTGCCCAAAGGAGAACATGGCAAAATGGCAAGGTCCTGGAATCAAACCAATCACTTAGACAGTGATGGACATTCTTTGCTGGAGTCTAGGAATGTGAAGACACGGCACACAAGAAGACTGCGTCAGTTACATGGCTACATGCACAAGAGAGAAAAAAACAAACAGCTGAAAACTCGCGCAATTTAAAAATCATGTATTATGTATTCATTATTCTCTCAAGTGAATCAGTTAATGTTTGTAATGAAACAATAATATAAGAAGAACTCAACAAGGGAGCATGTACAGCAGGAGTCCACCGACCATCTGTAGCACGTCCGGCTGTATTTATATCTAGAGTTGGCCGTGATCAGTAGAAAGATCTTTCATCGACAATTGTTTCGGCCCATCAACTCGTAGACAATTTCAGAGGGTGGGCCGACCTGGGTCATGAACCCCAGGCCTTTATCTTCTACTGCTGCACTTTTTGCCAGAAGTTCTTGGACAAAGACAAGATGGAATGGTGACTATGCAACGGGTACTATGAGATTCGAAGCTAAATATATGTATTGTCGCTGTATTAGCCAATTAGAACAGACGGCTATCTTAACGACAAAGTGGCAAGCATACGATTAGTTCAATCGGACTAATGAAAGACTTTGGCAATAGGCAGAGGGACACTGGCAGACATCAGTCGGACACCTTTGATATTTAAGGGACAAGAAGCTCCCTTCCTACAAGGATTCCGACTAGTCTATCGAGGCCCATCTCCCACGACGTTCCGTTACTTTCAGAGCCAGCTCGAAACTCTTTCAGCAGCTTCGCCCAGTTGTTTTAGTGACAATATTTAGTATCAGGTTTAGTATTTAGTGTCATATAGATGATTCTTTTATCTACCATATTCTGTGTGTGAACTAAAAACATTGAATTGAAAGTGTCAAACAGTTATACTCACATATTCAATTAGGTCACCTATACAGACTTACGAGCATGGCATATTATTTGTAATATTTAATCAATGGCTCCGTCTACAAAATTTAATTCGTATATATTAAATTATGAGATAGATGAGATAAAGATGATCCCTTTTCACACCTTTCGGCGCATTGGGCATATGGGCAGAGCGTCCCATATTATATTAAATTATACTCCAGATATAACCTGTACTGACATAGCCTATATCATACCCACTAAATTATTCCCCCGACTTCACTTAATTCGAGTGAAATAAATGACACTCCATATATAACACGTGCCATACTCACTAAATTCATTCCCTCGACATTACTTAATTCGAGTATAAAATAATAACATTCCATACACAACATGTGCATACTTACCAAATCATTTCCTCGACATTACTTAATTAATGTATAATAATTTACATTCCCCTTATAACCTGTGTGATACACACTAGAATATTCTCTCGACATCCCTTATTCTTTGTTAACTAATTATACTCACAAAATAAACTGGCATATCTGTTTAATTAAATCTGGGATGAACTTGTCATGAGTTTTTAGGTTTGAACAACGGATCGACATCATGGCACTCGGGTAGTAACCCAAAAGTGCTCCGTTCTTCTTCTAACTCAAGTCTGATTAGGAAGAAGCTCAGCACAGTTCACAGGCTCTGTAGCACCGGCGAGGCTTTTGAAATACTTTGGGTAGATTTTTACCTCCAAATTTTGCTCAGGCAGCGCCTGTTAGGCTACTCTTTTTCGAATTCCAAATGCCAAGGGATTTTTGTAAGGGGGAGGCGGATAATGTGTCATCAACATTGGAATGTAAAAATTGTGACAGAATATGCCAGCACTTTACGCATTATTATACATGAATGCTTTCATCTGTTTGCAGATGAGTTGGTACTGCGAATAATTTATCACTGATTGACAGCTACACTCATAAAATTATTATTTAATCGTTTAAAAAACAATAATACGGAATATGGTCATGAAAAACCGGCTGGGATGGAGCCAGTTCTAAACCATCACAAAGAAACAACAGATTAAATGGTTTGGACATGTTTCAAGACTATCATAACATCAGTTAGATGCAACGGAAGTAGAACCAGCGGTCGACCACGCAAGCCATGGATACATAACATATCCGAGGCCGTAAGTACTGGCATCTACTAGGTACATACTGAAGCCCGCACCAGGTGCTTCTTCGCAACCTGACACTGAAGGCAGACGGGACTAGAAATGAAGAAGAAGAAGATATTACTGTTTAATAGTGCAGGTTTGAAACTAAAATAGTTGATATAATTTGCCTGGGTTACATACACATGTGTGAGTAGCCGTGGCATTGGCGGCTAGACGCCCGCCTGCGGATCGGAAGGTCGTGGGTTTGCGTCCTGACGGAGCCGGACATTTTCCCCTTTCAAGAATGACCTTGACTCCCAGGTCGACCCAGCCTTGAGTGGGTAAAGGTGCAGTCCCGGGAAGTAAAGACGGCCTGCGTGATGCTGACCCCATTACCTACCAAGTACCGATTGGTATATAAAAATGTATATGCCTAGCCCTATGTTCCCAGCGTGCCTAAAGGCGTGGAAAAGGGACCTCACATACACATATACCAGAGAAGGGTCTTGGTCCACCAAACCACAGCTAAAGCACTTCATTTATGCCCCCCCCCTTCCTTTTCCAAATGATTTGTTATCCTCGTCATCATTAGGTGCCTTGCCGACTGGCGTGGGCAATCATGCCTCACCACCATCTGCAATCTTCTGCAGCATGTATCTGTTTGTGTGCTGACACATCTCCATGCTATACAACAAGACTGTAAAGAATTTTCTATTGTTGTCTTCCTCTATTCCTCCTTCCACAGATCTTTCCATTGATCACAACATGTTCAGTTTTCCCATTTCTCATAACATGACTGAAAAATGATGACTGTCTCATTCTGATGATTTGGGATTAGTTGTCTTCGGGCTCCCGCCTCTTTCAAAACCTCTTCGTTGCTCTTTTTGATTGTCCAAGGTATTCTAAGCATTCTTCTGTAAAACCACTTCTTTGTGGCCTCAAGAAATTGTTTGGCCTTTCTACCGATTGTCCAGGACTCACAGCCATATGTTAAAACCTGACATATGTAGCGAGCAAGAATTATTTTTCTAACCATGAGTAACAGAGATATATTTCATATGGTGTTATCCATGTGCACAGATACTTAAATTTCTGTACTTATCTCAAAATAACACCATTAACTGTTATTACACATTTGGGAATAATTAAATCCTTTGATACTACCATTTATTACGTCACTCATTTATTTCAAACTAAGGCCCATTCTTCCACTTTCTACCACCAAAATGTCTATCATTTCCTGTAGTTCTGTCTGACTTGTTGATTATCAAGACTGACTTGTTATACAGACTGAAAAACACTGAAATAAAGCAACAAGATTTAAACACACGATATTACCTTTACTTAATGTCTTATAAAAAAAAAAAATAGAAATCAAGTACTGATTGCAAAAATGTCACAACGCACACACGATGAAACATATGCTAAAGCCATCATTGCAAAAATAGATCGCTAACAGAAACTGCTGGCATAGTTCACCCAAGTTGATAAAAAAAAAAAAGTAGTTTCTGTAACGAGGCAAAATATAACTTCGTTAAATATGAAAGCTCCCCTGAAATCTGTGTAACAAGCAATTCTGCACTCACATCCAAGTCGTGAATGGTTGTTTTCAACTGCTCTGTGAGGTAAAGTAATTGACACATGGTATTCACACGAGGCTGACTGGTTAACATGTGCCTCTAGCAAAACAGTTATCCGATGGATGTGTGGAGTGTACTGTCAATATTTGGCGTGCCCAAAGTTGAGTCAGTCCTAAATTTGTTAGTTTGGACACCAGAATATTATAACTCTTTCAATTATTGCCCTGTTGTGTCATTGCACGTCACACAGAGCTGATAGGCTGTTCATCTTTTCCCGTTGGGAACAAGAACGGAATCAGTAGAGAAACAAGATTATTTTGGCCTGGCGAGAATGGGGCACCTGGGTGTAACTAGAGGGTCTCTGCTTCGAGCAGAGTGGCAAGCTTCACTGAGTAGGTCACGGGTAGTGAGCATACATTTAATCTTTTATCCAGGGTATGCCAACGTAATGGGTAATGAACAGACAGAGAGATTGGATGGATCTGCACCACAGGGTGGTGATTTGATGCATGACAAGGCAGATGTAGAAAAGGCCCTTTGGGAACGCGCAACGGAATAATAATCCAGTAGAGAAACAAGATTATTATGGCCTGAAGAGAATGAGGCACCTGGGTGTAACCAGACGGTCTGGCCGGCTCACTACACTCGGAGGAAGGGTAAGACGGACATATAACCAGATTGTGACCAGTACCATCAGTATTGGAACTATGTGCTGACTGCTGAAGATGAGAACTGAACACGCATGGGAATGCCCCAAATGCTGTGATATAAATGCTTGACTCATTTCAACTCAACCCATTCCCTTCTATCTGTGATTCCCTCTATATCATAAATGGCATCCAGGCCATTGTTTTGAGCCGCTCTCATCAACGTTCGTTGACGGTTTCTTCATCATCATCTTCTTCTTCTTCTTCTTCTTCTTCTTCTTCTTCTTCTTCTTCTTCTTCTTCTTCTTCTTCTTCTTCTCTTCTTCTTCTTCTTCTTCTTCTTCTTCTTCTTCTTCTTCTTCTTCTTCTTCTTCTTCTTCTTCTTCTTCTTCTTCTTCTTCTTCTTCTTCTTCTTCT